ATGGCCATGTTCTAGAGGCATTTTCTCCTGACGTTTCGCCTGCATCTATGGCAAGCATCCTGAGGTTGTGAGGTGTGTTGGAAGTAGGAAAAATTGGTGTATATATCTGTGGAATGACCAGGGTGGGACAAAGGACTCTTGTCTGCTGGAGCTAGGTGGGAATGTTTATTCTGTGGCTGAGTGCTATCTTTATGTTTTATATTTTGGTCTATTAAAACAGCCAGAAAGTAAGTGCTGTTTTAATTAAAACTGTTTTATATCAGACTGGGTTTTTGTTTGATTCACCTCTGCTGGAAATAACAACAGAGCCGCGGCAACGTGACAAGAGAGCCATTCCCCCCAAGCCTGTTCCGCTCAGAGCTCACCCCAACACAAGAGTCATGACTCAAGGCCTTCTTTTTCCACAACCTGGCAGTTTTATTTGCTCCCCGATTGCACAGGAAGCCCACGTTTTCACCAAGAGCACTTACACCGGCATTCACTCATACCACAAAAGCACACGGGACGAACACAAGTGAGCAGGCGGACGCGTCCCAAAAGGCACACTGGACTCCCTCCTGAGACCCAGAACCAGGGCTGCAAAACAGAAGAGGCTGGCTTGCCTTTGACATTGGCTCCTACATGTATGTATGCATCCACCCACCCACTCACCCACCCACCCGTGGGCCCAGGAGGGGCTGGCTCAGAGAACGCAGGGGTCTCGGGCCAAGTGTTGTTGGGGCCACACAACCTCTCCCTCAAAGTCCGAGGCAGGAAGGAGAGAGATGGGCCCAGGCTCAGGGCAGCATCACAGCAGCAAGGAGAAGCGGCCACAGTGGTCATGCGCTCAGTCCAAAGAAAGGAAGGAGGAAAACACATCTTCTGTGATGAGTCCTGTGACAATATGCACTGGAACTGACAAAGCCATATCTGAATATTCTGTGTCCAAGAATCAAATTAGAAAAGTGGCACATACGCTTCTTTGCCTACAAAGTGGCTGCAGCACACATCTTGCTCAATGCATCCATGTACATAAGCATAAATGAGAGGCAGTTGACGCACTGAGGTTTCATATCACCAAACCACACTCCCCCCAATCCCTCTCTCACACACGCAGCAAAACAAAGACACAACTGGCACATATATATATATCCTTCTTTTGTCCCAGGGCTTCCCAGGTTGTCTCCCTTTTGCAAGGACGGCTGCCTGCCCGCTCTCCAACCCCTTGCGCTTCCCCTGCCAGGCTCCATGCGCAAGGCACTTCTTCTGTGGCTCCTTCTTCCCAGGCGCATGCATGCACACGCCTCCAGGAAGGGCATTGCATTGCTCTGCTTCTTAAATAAAATGCAACTTTTAAAATTGTACTAGCTATTTTCTAAAAACAAACCCTATCACACCTTGACACGTCGGATGCTAACGATGCTTCCTCTTTTTTTTTGTCTTAAACATCAAACGTGTCGTCTTTCTAAAATGACCGTCCTCCTTGGCCTCTGCATCATCTGATCTGCTGCCGGTGGGAGCTCTCAAGCCAACTGCTGACCAGAGGTGCGCCAATGCACCAGCATTCCCACTCCTCCCAGTAAAGAGCAGGTGCTAGGAAGCAGAGATCTGGCACATGAGAGGCAGCGTTCATCACCCAAGTGGGGTGTGGTTGTGCAATTTCCGGGCTGTACGGCCAATGTCTTCCAGCCACATTTTCTCCTAGTGCCTTGCCTGCGGATGCTGCAAGAACACATTACGTTGGCTGTACAGCTTGGACACCACACAGCAGCACCCTAGTGACTCCGGCACACAATACTAAGCACACAAGTCCTTTCCGTGCAAATAAATCAAGTTGGGCTTCTAAGTTCTCTCTGCCCCAAATGCACTGCTGGAAAAGTTTTTCACGGAGACGGAGAGCCAGCTGGATTGGGTGTGTGAGAAGCAGCGCCCATCACATAAAATACACAGTGGGGTGTTGTTGTGCGATATACGGGCTGTACAGACAGTGTCTTCTAGCCACATTTTCTCCTAGCACCTCACCTGCAGATGCTGCTGCAACACATTACATTGGTTGTACAGCCCGGAAACCACACGACAACACAAGAGTGATTCCGGCAGAGAGCCAGCTGGGTTTGCCACATGAGAGGCAGCATTCATCACACAAGTGGGGTGTGGTTGTGTTATTTCTGCGCTGTACAGCCAATGTCTTCTTCCTGCATTTCTTCCTGACGTCTAGCCTGCAAGTGCTGCTTGAACACATTACACATTGGCTATACAACCTCGAAACCACACAACACTCTAGTGATTCTGGCACGCAATACAAAGCACACAATCCTTTCCGTGCATTTAATATTTGTGTTGGGCTTCTAAGTGTCTTCCACCCCAAACACACTGCTAGAAGAGGCATGCACGGAGGCAGAGAGCCAGCTTTGGGTTTGGTGCGTGACAGGCAGTGTTCATCACCCAAGTGGGGTGTGGTTGTGCAATTCCCAGGCTGTACAACCAATGTCTTCCAGCCACATTTTCTCCTAGCACCTCGCCTGCAGATGTTGCAAGAACACATTATGTTGGCTGTACATCCCACACAGCAGCACCTAATGATTCCAACACACACTACAAGGCACCCAATCCTTTTTCCACCACAAATGCACTGCTGGAAGGCAGCTTGCATCGCAGGCAGCGCTATGCATTGTTTTGCACCTGCTTCGTGGAGAACTCACCCCCTTTGAGGCAGGGCTTGGGAAGCCGAGGAGCATCGGAGCACGACATGGGGCATAGCACAACTTGTGCAACTTATCAACTGCTGCCCATCTCTATCTAGATTTAGGGCAGCCATTGATGGTCTCTGCAACATCTGCTGTCGGTGGGAGCTCTCCATGAAGAAGGCAAGAGGGGGCTGTAAAGCAAAGTGCCGGCCAAACCCATTGTTCCCACTCCTCCCAGTAAAGTATAGACACTGGGAAGTGGAGAGCCAGCCAGGTTTGGCACGTGAGAGGCAGCATTCATCACACAAGTAGGGTGTTGTTGTGCGATTTCAAAGCTTTACAGCCAATGTCTTCTAGCTGCATTTCTTCCTGACGTCTCGCCAGCAGATGCAGCTAGAACACATTACGTTGGCCATACAGCTTGGACACCACAAAGCAGCACCCTAGTGATTCCGGCACACAATACAAAGCACACAAGTCCTTTCTGTGCAAATAATTCAAGTTGGGCATCTAAGTTCTCTCTGCCCCAAATGCACTGCTGGAAAAGTTTTGCACAGAGATGGAGAGCCAGCCGGATTGGGTGTGCAAGAGGCAGTGTCCATCACACAAAGCACATGGTAGGATGATGTTGTGTGACTTCCGGGCTGTACAGCCAGTGTCTTCTAGGAACATTTTCTCCTTGCACCTTGCCTGCGGATGCTGCTGCAACACATTACATTGGTGGTACAGCCCGGAAACCACACGACAACACCACAGCAATTCCGGCACACAATAGAAAACAAGACAATCCTTTCCATGCAAATAATTTACGTTGGGCTTCAAAGTGCACTCCGCTCCAAATGCACCATTGGAAGAGGCTTGCATGGAGACGGAGAGCCCGCTGCATTCGGCATACGAGAGGCAGCATTCATCACACTAGTGGGGTGTTGTTGTGTGATTGGAATCACAATTGTGTTGTCGTGTGGTGTCCAGGCTGTACAGTGTTCTTGCAGCATCCACACAACACCCACTAGTGTGATGAATGTTGCCTCTCGTGCGCCAAACCCAGCGGGCTCTCCGTCTCCGTGCAAGCCCCTTCCAGCGGTGCATTTGGGGCGGAGAGCACCGGGCTGTACTCCCAATGTCTTCTAGCTGCATTTTCTCCCGACACCTCGCCTACGGATGCTGCAAGAGCACTGTACAGCCCGGACACCACACGACAACACAATTGTGATTCCAGCACGCAATACAAAGCAGAAAAGTCCTTTCCTTGCAAAACATTACAGTTGGGCTTCTAAGTGCTCTCCGCCCCAAATGCACTGCTGGAATAGGACTTGCGTCGCAGGCAATGTTGTGTATTGTTTTGCACCTGCCTCGCACAGAAATCTCCCTTTGAGGCAGAACAGGAGCAGGGCATAACACAATTTGTGTGGCTTGCCAACCACTGCCCATCTTCACTGAGTATTACGGTAGCTGTCGACTCCAAAACAGGCATGGACCTCCCTTGGGATGTTTTGGACTTCAACTCCCACCATTCCTGGCCTCAGGCCCTTTCCTTTTCCCCCTCAGCCGCTTAAGCGCCTTTCAGATACACTTTTAGAGTTCCAGAACGGCAGCTGACAGCCTCTCCCAACGGCAACGTATAACCTCCGCACATCCGCTCCATTTTAGCTGACCGACAGAAAGGTGTGTGGTTTCAAGTGAAAAGGTTCCTCTACATGATCTCAGGTTAAAAGAAGTAAAAAACCGACGTCACGCTAAACACACAAAGGCCTCGATCTCCGGAAAGGAAGATTCCCCTGAAAGCAGGGCCAGAGGGAGGAAGGGTTCGTTTGGCTCAGCTGGTAGCTTCCCTTTCGTTCTCGAGGAGGCGGGTTTCCTTTCTTTCCTTTCTTTCTTTCTTGCCAGGTAATATCCCCACTATTATTATTATGATGATGATTCCTCGCCTCCCGAAAGGGATGATTCCCTGAGACATCAGTGTCTTGTACGCAGGTTAAAAAAAATACTAAAAGTCTCCCCAACGGAACGTTCCCGTTCTTTTCTACGGCCGACGCTCTGTTTGTTTACGTTTGCAAAAGGCGAACGGTTGCAGCGCGGAGGCAACGAGGAAGCGGCTGCAAAAGTGTTCCAAGAAGAGGCCCGGATCCGTTGCATTGCGAAACTCAGGAGGAAGTTCACAGTGTTGTACGAGATAGAGACAGAGGCGTCCTCGTCGTTGGAACAGTCGCAAGTCGTTGTGTCCCATTCCTCCTCGGTGTCGAATTCCTCTTGCAAGCACGGTCGTCTCTTCCCTTTGTTTTCCTGCTGGTTCGCCACAAACCGAGGTGACTTCCTTCTCGACCAGTCTTGTTCTTCCCCACAAATCCCCACCCCCCCCCCCAAGTGCCTCTTCTCCCGCCCCCCCCCCCCCGCCGTCATTGCGCTCAGAAGTTCTTGAGGCGGCTGTAGAGCTCCCTCTTGCTCCGCTCCCCGGCCCACGTGCGGCTCTTCAGGCGGAAGCGGCGCAGGTCCTCCTTGAAGTCCTCGTGGTGCATTGGCCGGTACGAGGGCGGCTCACAGTGTGACTGCAGGAAGAGAGGGCAGAGGAAGCCATGTTAGGACGCGCGAGAGGTAATTTGTGTCCAAATTTGGTGTCCATTCACCCAGTGGTTTTTCAGTTATGTTAATCCCACAAATCAACATTACATTTTTTATTTATATCAGTGTTTTTGTGCACTGGCATATCTTTGTCCCTAGGCACATCAGTCTAACAGCGGAGAACCCTAATGGCCATGCATGAATCCTAGTGGGATATTTACCACTAAGGAGAAGGTTGATTCAAGAGGGTTTTTAACTCTTCTTGGGGAGATTCCTGGTTTTCCCAAATGGTGATGGCATCGTTTCCCCCCAGAACCCTTCACTCACTTGATATTGTGGGAAGAACTCCTTGTAGCCTCCTTTCAGGACGTACAGCTCCGGGTAGTGCAGGGAAGGGTACTCGTTGCAGGCCCGGTCTTTCTCCCGCACAAAGCGGCACCTGCGAGGGAGAGGAAACGGAGCCACAACCCATCAGGCCGCGTTCCCCATGCAGACAAAGCAGCGTGCACCCTTTGGCCTGTTTGAGTGGCAGGGACCAAGGAGGGCGCAGCATCTGCACTGCGGGATGAATGTGGATCAACGCCACCTGAGCCCCCAACGGCTCTGATGGACCTGTAGCACCCCCAGCCGAATTGCAAAGACCCACGGGCGTCCCTGTGGGGATCAGGGGGCTTGAAGAGGGCAGTTCTCCTCGGAGGAGAACTGCTGGAAAGGGGGACTCACATGCGGGGGCCCCTCTCGGAGGAGAACTCGCAGTGGAAGACCACGATCACGCGCTTCGAGGAGTCCGACGGCACCATCGGCTTCCGGAGGAGGAACTCCTCCACGTCCTTTTCCAGGGGGAGGTTCACGGCGCCCTGGAGATTCACAGAATCCGGGAGTTGGAGGAGATCTGGTGGGCCACCATCCAGTCCAACCCCAACAGAAGGTGCCTCCAGGCAACAACAGCCAGGCCACCTGTGCAAATACCATCACTCATTGACTTAGAATCACAGAATCCTCGAGTTGGAGGAGACCTGGTGGGCCACCATCCAGCCCAGCCCCAACAGAGGGTGCCCCCAGGCAGCAAAAGCCAAGCCACCTATGCAAATACCATCACGGATTGACTCATAGAATCATAGAACCCTAGAGTTGGAGAAGACCTGGTGGGCCATCATCCAGCCCAACCCCAACAGAGGGGGCCTCCAGGCAACAACAGCCAGGCCACCTATGCAAATACCATCATGGATTGACTCATAGAATCCTAGAGTTGGAAGAGACCTCGTGGGCCATCATCCAGTCCAACCCCATTCTGCCAAGAAGCAGGACAATCGCCTTCAAAGCACCCCCAACAGATGGCCATCCAGCCTCTACCTAAAAGCCTCCAAGGAAGGAACTTCCACTGGACTCCGAGGCAGAGAGTTCCACAGCTGAACATAGAATCCTAGAGTTGGAGGAGACGTGGTGGGCCATCCACTCCAACCCCAACAGAGGGTGCCTCCAGGCTACAACAGCCAGGCCACCTATGCAAATACCACCACTCATTGACTTAGAATCATAGAATCCTAGAGTTGGAAGAGACCTGGTAGGCCACCATCCAGTACACCCCCATTCTGCCAAGAAGCAGGACAATCGCCTCCAAAGCACCCCCCACAGATGGCCATCCAGGCTCTGCTTAAAAGCCTCCAAGGAAGGAACTTCCACTGGACTCTGAGGCAGAGTTCCACAGCTGAACATAGAATCCTAGAGATGGAGGAGACGTGGTGGGCCATCCAGTCCAACCCCAACAGAGGGTGCCTTCAGGCAACAACAGCCAGGCCACCTATGCAGATGCCATCACTCACTGACTTGGAATCACAAAATCCTCGAGTTGGAGGAGACCTGGTGGACCATCATCCAGTCCAACCCCATTCTGTCAAGAAGAATTGTGTTCAAAGCACCCCCGACAGATGGCCATCCAGCCTCTGCTTAAAAGCCTCCAAGGAAGGAACTTCCACTGAACTCCGAGGCAGAGAGTTCCACAGCTGAACATAGAATCCTAGAGTTGGGAGAGACCTGGTGGGCCACCATCCAGCCCAACTCCATTCTGCCAAGAAGCAGGACAATCGCCTTCAAAGCACCCCCAACAGATGGACATCCAGCCTCTGCTTCAAGGCCTCCAAAGAAGGAACTTCCATTGGACTCCAAGGCAGAGAATTCCACAGCTTAACATAGAATCCTATGTCCATCATCCAGTCCAACATAAACACCTCCAAGGAAGGAACTTCCACCACACTTCAGGGCAGAGAGTTCCACCACTGAACAGCTCTCACAGTTAGGAAGACACACACACACAGAGGGGCCAGCCATTACTTGAGTTTGTCCAGAGTCTTCCGTTTGTACAGACTGTGTTTGGAGGGAGTCCAGTTGAGAAATGGACCTGCCCCCCCCCCCGACACGGTCACACCCAGGACCCACCTTGATGTGTCCTCCTTCGTATTCGTACGGGTATCTGCAGTCCACGACCACACAGCTTTCGATGAGGCTGCTGAACTGGCCTGTCAGGACGGCCACCATCTGTGGGCAGAGAAAGGGCCCCACGGTCAAGACCTGGCCTCCGCCAGGGAGAAGGAAAAGGGCCTGGCCGGTCCGCACTTCCCTGGAGCTGAGCCTATCACTGAGTGCCATTCAAGGACCAAACTTAAGAGTCATAGAATCATGGTGGAAGGACCTGTGTTAGGAATTGTGGGAGTTGAAGTCCAAAACAGCTGGAGGGAGGGCCCAAGTTGGCCCATGACTGTCCTAGAGAGGCTATATATTCCCTGGGAGTGGGTAAAGGAAGCTGAGGGAATGGGCTCCGAGGATATGGGGTGCCAAAGGAAGCCTACGGGTATTGTGTCCGCGGATATGGAGTGCAAAAGGAAGCCTATGGGAATTGTGTCTACAGATATGGAGTGCAAAAGGAAGCCTACGGGAATTGTGTCCATGGATATGGGGTACAAAAAGAAGCCTACGGGAATTGTGTCCGCAGATATGGGGTGTGAAAGGAAACCCACGGGAAACAGACCTCGTGGGACATCTAGTCTAAACCCTTCTTCCATACAGGGAAAGTACAATCAAAGCAGCCCAACAGATGGCCATCCAGCATCTGTTTGAAAGCATCCAAGGAAGGGGTTTCCACCATACTCTGGGGCAGAGAGTTCCACTAGTGAAGTTTTGTTCCACCTGTCAGACTGCCCACGCCTGTCCTAGAGAGACTATATATTCCCTGGGAGTGGGTGAAGGAAGCTGAGGGAATGGTCTCCACAGATATGGGGTACAAAAGGAAATCCACGGGAATGTGTCCGTGGATATGGAGCACAAAAGGAAACCTACGGGAATGAGGTCCACGGATATGGGGTGCAAAAGGAAACCCACGGGAATGGTTTCCGCGGATATGGCACACACAAGGAAACCCACGAAGCCGGTTTTCTTACCATTTCGGCAGAGATGTACTTGAGATCTTGGTGCTTCCCTTCTACCGTCTGCAGAATGTAGGCCTAGCGTTGGGAAGAGAGGTGAGAGAGGGAGGAGTGTGAAGGATCGCCCACAAAGCCGCTGCGTCGGCTCCACAGAATGCTTCTTGCTTCCGCTTTGGGTGCCGAGCCTGCTTCCAAGGGGAGGTCCCTTTCCCATTTCCCTCCCTCCCTTCTCTTACCTTTGAGAAGTCTCCAATCAGCTCCCGCTGGTCGTTGTCCAAGATGCTGGCGATCTCGCTGGGGCAGCAGGAGCGGGAGCGCACCATGCGCGGCTTCTGCAGGGAATGGGTGGAAGGAGCGTGAGCAGCGCAGGCTGACAGACGGGAGCTCACCCCACTCCTCCTGCTTCCAAGTGCATGGGAGGCACCAACAGCGAGGGGGGCCCTTGCCTGCCCTGCGGACCCCAGATCTCGCATTCTCTAAGCATCATGGGACAGCTGTGCATTAATCGCATTTATTTTTGTGTCAGGAGCAACTTGAGAAACTGCAAGTCGCTTCTGGGGTGAGAGAACTGGCTGTCTGCAAAGATGTTGCCTGGATGCTTTACCATCCTGTGGGAGGCTTCTCTCAAGTCCCCACATGAGAAGCTGGAGCTGACAGGCAGGAGCTCACCCCACGCCCTGGAATCAGTCAGCAGTCCTGCCAGCACAAGGGTTTAACCCACTGCACCACCGGGCAATCACATCGCTGGAGCTGGAGCTGACAGACAGGAGCTCACCTGACTCCCTGGAATCAAACCATCAACTTTTCAGTCAGCAGTCCTGCCAGCACAAGGGTTTAACCCATTGCGCCACTGGGCAATCACATCCCTGGAGCTGACAGACAGGAGCTCATCCCACTCCCCGGAATCAAACCATCAACCTTTTGGTCAGCAGTCCTGCCAGCACAAGGGTTTAACCCATTGCGCCACCGGGCAATCACATCCCTGGATGTTTTACCATCCTGTGGGAGGCTTCTCTCATTTCCCCACATGAGAAGCTGGAGCTGACAGATGAGAGCTCACTCCACTCCCCGGATTCGAACCACTGACCTTTTGGTCAGCAGTCCTGCTGGCACAAGGGTTTAACTCATTGCACCTCCTGGGCAATCGCATCCCTGGATGTTTTACTATCCTGTGGGGGGCTTCTCTCAAGTCCCCACATGAGAAGCTGGAGCTGACAGACAGGAGCTCACCCCACTCCCTGGAATCAAACCACCGACCTTTCGGTCAGCAGTCCTGCCAGCACAAGGGTTTAACCCATTGCGCCACCGGGCAATCACATCCCTGGAGCTGGAGCTGACAGACAGGAGCTCACCCCTCCCAGGAATCAAACCACCAACCTTTCTGTCAGCTGTCCTGCCAGCACAAGGGTTTAACCCATTGCGCCACCGGGCAATCACATCCCTGGAGCTGGAACTGACAGACGGGAGCTCACCCCACTCCCCAGGTTCGAACCAAACACTGGCCCCTTTTCTGGAGGGAAAAGATCATCTCCAAAACCCACAATGCCCCCCCTCCCCCCATGCATCCCCCTACGGTGACTGTACCGGCTCCTCTGGCTTCTTCTCCTCTTCGTCGGCAGCGTCAGTAGGGTGGGCGTTGCTGTCGGCCAGGCTCCTCCGCCGCTTGCTCTTGACCGGCGGGGCGTCTCTGTCCTGAGGCCGGTCCAGGCGCTTGAGGACGGGCCGGATGACGCTGCTGGGCATCGAGGGCGAGCGGAAGAGGCGGCGGCACTTGCCCGCGTTCACCGGAGTCTGGTGGGTCCAGGGCCAAGAGCAGAGAGGAAGGGGAAAGAGGCGCCGTTGGCCGTGAGACTCCCCTCCGCTGAGGGGGTTTGGCACAAGGGACTCGCCCACAAAGGCCTCAGGGCAAGACAGGCCTGTCTCTAGTCCATAATAATAATAATAATAATAATAATAATAATAATAATAATAATAATAATAATAATAGATCCCCATCTTCAGCTGCTGCAAGAAGATCGGCAGACAGACTACAAGCAGAGGCACAACACCTTCCATCTCCTTAGAAGTGGCTGGGGGGTCTCCCAAGGCATTCCCTTCCATTCCAGGAAAGTTCAGCCCACAAGACACCCAGTATCAGGAAGGAGAGGGGACCCCCACTCACCAGCTCAGAGTCGGCTTCTTCTTTCCGGACCAAGGGAGCCATCAGCAGGTTCTCCATCCCGTGAGGGACCTCTGTGTCGCCCTGGAAGGAGGGAGGAACCGAGGAATGGGGGTCAGAACACACTCACCTACAAGGGACTCGCCTACAAAGGCCTCTGGGAAAGACAGGCCTGTCTCTAGTCAAGAATAATAATAATAATAAATCCCATCCTCAGCTGCTGCAAGAAGATCGTGGACAGACTCCAAGCAGAGGCACAACACAGTTGCTCAGATGATTCATTGGAACTTGTGCCACAAACACCATCAGCCTGCGACAAAGAACTGGTGGGATCACAAGCCGGAAAAAATGACACAAAATGTACAAGTCAAACTCCTCTGGGACTTCCGGATTCAGAGAGACAAGAGTTTTGGCGACTCCAGACCTCAGGATCGTGTTAAAAAACAAAGTATGGATCATCGATGTTGCAATCCCAGGAGACAGCAGGATTGCAGAGAAACAACTGGAAAAGCTGACACGATATGAGGATTTAAAGATCCCAGTGGCCGACCACCACTGGGGTCCCAGTGGTGGTTGGCACACTGGGTGTAGTGCCTCAAGACCTTGGCCTGCACTTAAACACAATCGGCGCTGACAACATCCCCACCGGTCAGCTGCAAAAGGCCACCCTACTGAGATCTGCATGCATTATTTTCCAATACATCACACAGACCTAGACACTTGGAAAGGGTCCGATGTGTGATCCAATACAACAGCCAGCAGAGTGTCTGCTGTGGACTCATCTTGTTGTGTTTTGAAATAATAATAATAATAATAATAATAATAATAATAATAATATAATAAACTTTGGACTCAAATCAGTAGGTGGTCCCAGTGGTGAGCACACTGGGTGCAGTGCCTAAAGACTGGCCTGCACTTAAACACAATCTGCACTGACAAAATTACCATCTGTCAGCTGCAAACCACCCTACTGGGATCTGCACACAACATTCTCCAATACATCACACAGTCTTAGAAACTTGGGAAGTGTCTAACATGGGATCCAGTACAGAAGGCAGCATTGTGATCTTGTTTGCTGTATACTAATCTTGTTGTGTACCAAATAATAAAAAAACGGGAAGTGTCCAACGTGTGATCCACTGCTCTCGGCCCCGCCACCTTCACAAGCACGATTGGTGGGGATGAGAGGCAGGGCCTTCTCAGTGGTGGCCCCTCGGCTATGGAACTCCCTCCCCAATGAGATGAGATCAGCCCCGTCTCTCCTGTCCTTCAGGGAAAAACTAAAGCCATGGCTGTGGGAACAAGGTTTTGATCAGTAAGCAGCACAGTAAGAGACTACAAGGAATGATGACTTGGATTGGCCCTGGAATATGGTCTGGATTTTGTGATTTCAACTGATGTTTTAATGTTTATGTTTTTAACTGGGTTGATCTGAATGCAGTTGTTTATTTACTAATATGTTTATGTGTATACCCCCCCCCCCCAGTGGTGCAGTGGGTTAAACCACTGAGCTGCTGAGACTGCTGACCAAAAGGTTGGCAGTTCAAACCCTGGGAGCAGGGTGAGCTTCCACCCAGCTTCTGCCAACCTAGCAGTTTGAAAACATGCAAATGGGAGTAGATCAATAGGGAAGGTAATCTAGGGTCTGCTGAGTTGAGTGGGATATAAATTTATTGCAGCAGCAGCCATAATAATAATAATAACAACAACAATAATAAGACAATAGTAATACAGGTGATAGTAATATGTGATGATGGACGGAATGAAGAAGGATGGTGAGTATGAACGAGTGAATGAATGGATGATGAATGAATATTACAGCACGAAACAAAGAAGGACGGCAAATATATGTGATGTTTCCGCTGTCTCTGTGTAACCAATATAGCTATCATAAAACCCAGTACTGGGCCTCTGTGTTTACTTCTGTCTCTGAAAGTGCCTGAGAGCAATCTGTCCCACTGAAAACAGATGAAAAAACATGATAACTAAAGATGAAGGACAGCTGTCATAAACACAATCTGAAACGCAGAGGATGTGCGCAAACGCAAAGGCGTGCAGTGCCCCCTAACCCAGACTGCCACAGGTTTCGAGGCCTGCATAGAGACCCCCTCCCTCTTCTCAAATGGGACCCTTCCCCTCACCTTCATCTGCTCCTCGTCCAGGATTTCCATGAAGCCGTCGTCTTCGTCGGAGAGGAAGGAGGCCAAGGAGGAGCGGCGGAGGAAGGCCGGGCTTTGGGGTCCGGGCCCCGTGTTCTCCTTCTCTGGGCTGCAGCACTGAAAGAATATGGTAATTTAAATGTAATGAATTGTTGTAACTCTACAGAGATACTCACTGGAACACCTCAGCAAGCGAGAGTCCAAAAGTGGCAGGCTTAAACCCAGAACCTGATACCAAATGAGAGACTCCCCCCTGGGCACACAGAAGACGGGGCGACTTGGAAGGCGCTGAACAGACTGTGCTCTGGCACCACAAGATGCAGAGTCAACCTTCAGAAATGGGGCCACAAAGTGGAATCCACGACATGCGAGTGCGGAGAAGAGCCAACCACTGACCACCTGCTGCAATGCAACCTGAGCCCTGCCACATGATGCACAAGGGAGGACCTCCTTGCGGCAACACCAGAGGCACTCCAAGGGGCCAGAGACTGGTCAAAGGACATTTAATCAACTACCAAGCTTGCAAATTTCGTATTTTGTCTGTCTGAAGAAATCAGAAAGCCATGTGGTTCTAGCTTCCAGCAATGTACAGCTAAGTGAATGGACGTATTTTATCCTGCTCCTGTAAGTAGTGTAAACTGCAATAAAAGTTAAGTGCCACTCCGGGCTTTGGCGCTGACTTAAGGTAGCACACTTCATTATTTGTTTTCTTGTGCCTTTGAGCAGACGCTCAGAGGTCAATTATTGTTATTATTATTTATTTATTATTATTTGCAGTATTTACATTCCACCCTTCTCACCCCGCATGGGACTCAGGGCAGATTACAATGTACACATATATGGCAAACATTCAATGCCACAGACACACAACACATATAGACAGTCAGTCAGAGGCTATTTAACTTTTTTTGGCTGCCCGGGGAGCTATCATTTTCATCGTCCATCTGCATTCCCCGCATGCTTTGCTAGAGTCTTGTTTATGGCCTCCTAAATTAGTTAAATTAGCCTCCTCACACATAGGTTAACCTGTGTGGTGAAGCAATGCAACATAAGAGTTAAATGCATAGAGCTGAGCTTGATTCCTAGAGCATAATTTTGGAGTGTTCCAGTAACGTGTTTACATTCTGAAGAAATCAGAAAGCCATGTGGTTCCAGCTTCCAGCGATGTACAGCTAAGTGAATGGACGTATTTTACCCTGCTCCTGTAAATAGTGTAAATTGCAATAAAAGATAAGAGCCGCTCTGGGCTTTGGAGCTGACTAAGGTAGCACGCTTCATTATTTGTTTTGTGCCTTTGAGCCGATGCCCAGAGGTCAATTATTATTATTATTTACTTATTATTATTTACAGTATTTCTATTCCGCCCTTCTCACCCCGCAGGGGACTCAGGGCGGATCACAATATACACATATATGGCAAACATTCAATGCCACAGTCACACAACATAGACGGACAGTCAGAGGCTATTTAATTTTTTTCTGGCTGCCAGGGGAGCTGTTGCTTTCATCGTCCATCTGCAACACTGATGAAGTACTTCTGCATTCCCCGCATGCTTTTGCTGGGGTCTTTTTTATGGCCTCATAAATTAGTTAACCTCCCCACACATAGGTGGTACCTAAATTTCCTACTTGACAGATGTAACTGTCTTTCAGGTTGCAAAGGTCGACAACAAGCTACACAATTGGTCGGAAGCTCACTCCGACCCGGGCTGGCTTTGAACTCATGTCCTTTTGGTCAGAAGTGATCTTAATGCAGCTGACACTCAGACACCTGCGCCACAATCAACAAGATGCACAGGCAGAGCATGAATGGGCGGAAGTAGTCCAGCCGCACGTCCTCCCACTGCACCCAGTTTGATACTCCAGAGGAACCGTGACTATATTACGACTTGAAAGTTTGTGTTGAAGTTGCTGGTTTTTTTCCACGACAGAGTACATTTTAAGTGTTGCATTTCTTCTACTTCTTGTGTTGCTCTTTTCTGAATATACAGGAGACTCATCTTCTGCTGGTCTGCACGCACCGTCAAGCCGTAACACAGGACACACTCCACGTACGCATGCACACGCATCCAACCCCCCTTTGCCCCTCACTCACTCACTCACCATGAGGTCCGGGGCCGAACTAGGCCGGTGTGCAAAGGGGTCCCGCTCCACCGCACCGCGCAAAGATCCCAACCGGCTGCTCGGGCGCAGGGGCTTCTTGAAGAGGGAGCCCTCCTAGATTGAAATGGCAGGAAAGAGAGGGAAAGAGATGCTCAATAAGCAGAATCTGCAGCTTTCCCAGTGCCTGATGGAGTCTCCTTCTCTGGAGACTGGAAGGACATCTGTCAGGAGAGCTTTGGTTGTGCCCTCCTGACAGGCAGAAAAGGGTTGGACTGCATGGCCCTTCCAACTCTGGGGCACTAGGATGTTCCTTTTCTCTCCCTTGAATTTAATTTTGTGACGATGTTTACAGCACCGTGAAAAAGGGGGACATAATAATAACAATAACAACAACAACAATAACAATAATAATTTATTTGTATCCTGCCACATGTCCACAGTGCAAACCATAAACAATCAAGACAAACAACCAAATTAACTTAAGTCAACAAAAAGCAAAATAAAATAAAAATAAAACATATTAAATTGACACAGCATAATAATAATAATAATAACAACAACTTTATTTATACCCCGCCACCATCTTCCAGAAGGGACTTGGGGTGGCTAACATCAGGCCAAGCCCAAGAATGGACCTTGATTTTGGGAATTGCAGTTCACCTGCATTCAGTGATAATGTGACCCCCCACCAACAATGGACTGGGACCAAATCTTGATTTTGGGAGCTGTACTTCTGGTTTGGGGGTGGATGTCCTTGGACCTGGGAGTTGTAGTTCACCCTTATCCCGAGAGCACTGAAGCCAGCCGATGATGGATCTGGACCACACTTGGCACGCAGACCCAACATGGCCTGGCTTGGGGGTGACTGTCCTTGGCATTTGGGAGTTATAGTTCACCTGCATCAAGAGAGCTTTGAACGCAGCCAACGTCCGATCTGGACCAAACTTGGCGCATAGACTCAACATGGCCTGGCTTGGGGGTGATTGTCCTTGGCATCTGCGAGTTGTAGTTCACCCTTATCCAGAGAGCATTGAAGCCAACTGATGATGAATCTGGATCAAACTTGGCACACAGACCCAACATGGTCAACTGCGCTTACAGACAGGGTTTGGGGGTGACTGACCTTGGACCTGGGAGTTGTAGTTCACCCTTGTCCAGAGAGCACTGAACCCAGCTGCCTATGGATGTGGACCACACTTGGCACACAGACCCAACATGGCCCACTCTGCATACAGCCAAGGTTTGGGGATGATTGTCCTTGGCATCTGGGAGCTGCAGTTCACCCGCATCAAGAGAGCTCTGAACGCAGCCAACGTCTGATCTGGACCAAACTTGGCGCATAGACTCAACATGGCCAACTTTGAATACTAGTGGGGTTTGGGTGAATGACCCACAATTTTGGGAATTGCAGTTCACCCACATCCGTATGCATTTTCTAATGGGAGCATCCATAAGAAAACAACAGGGAAGACTGGCTTTTTCCTGAGAGAAAGAGCTACAAATTGCCAAACCAATATGATTGCGTTTTTCAAGTAACCTGGGCACTGCTGGGTCCCCAAGCTCGTAAAATTATGGAGATGACATAGTGTTAAAAGGGCATAACAGCAGAATCATGCCATGCTCAAACCAAGTTGCGATCCACTAGAATCCACAGTTCTGGGCACCACAATTCAAGAGAGATATTGACAAGCTGGAATGTGTCCAGAGGAAAGCGACTAAAATGATAAAAGGTCTGGAGAACAAGCCCTATGAGGACGGCTTAAGGAGCTGGGCATGTTTAGCCTGAAGAAGAGAAGGCTGAGAGGGGATATGATAGCCATGTATAAATATGTGAGAGGAAGCCACAGGGAGGAGGGGAGCAAGCTTGTTTTCTGCTTCCCTGGAGACTAGGACATGGAGCAATGGCTTCAAACTACAAGAAAGGAGATTCCATCTGAACATGAGGAAGAACTTCCTGACTGTGAGAGCTGTTCAGCAGTGGAACTCTCTGCCCCGGAGTGTGGTGGAGGCTCCTTCTTTGGAGGCTTTTAAGCAGAGGCTGGATGGCCATCTGTCAGGGGTGATTTGAATGCAATATTCCTGCTTCTTGGCAGAATGGGGTTGGACTGGATGATGGCCCAGGAGGTCTCTTCCAACTCTAGGATTCTAGGATTCTATGAATCATAAACTAATTTGAGTCCAAAAGGCAGAATGTGACTTACCTTCTCAGCATTGCTGCCAAGCGGCGAGTCCCGCTCGAGAGCGGCCGGGCTGTTGAATTCCTTGGAGTTGGAGATGTTCCTCAGGGCGGGGCTGGCCCCCAGGAGCCTCACCTGTCGAGAAAGCCAGCCGGAGTCAATGGTCAGTGGCCACACTCCTCCGGCCACAAAAGGCAGGCATGACGTGCGACACAGAAGCGCCTGCGACAGGCCTCTATCAAGTTTTAGGGGTGTCGTGGTTTTATCAGTGTTTTTATTCAATTTGAAGGCAACACATACACACCACTGCCACTTCCCACCACCACCACCACCACCACCACCACCACCACCACCACGAGGGTTGTCTCCTTTTACATGTTGATCCTTCCCGAGATGATCTTTATATATTTATATATTACATAACCCTTGCATCTTATTTCTTAGGGCTTGATCTCTAGAATGATTCATCCTATAATTCTTGACCCAGTTCCATCTTTCATCAATTTCTCGCATTCCGTTTCATTACCTTTTGACTCATTTAATGTTAAACCCACTCTCTCGTTACATCTAGGATAGACTACTGCAAAGGAAACGCTCTGCAGACGTCCCTTTAACACCAGTGACGCTTCACTTGAGCATCAAACGTGGTGTCGTCACTTACCGGCAAGGACTGGATCCGTCGGATGGGAAAGGAATCCCTAGGAAGGAAAAGAGACACCATCAGGCCACCCCCTTTTGTGAGTGTGTGTGTGTGTGTGTGTATACACACACACACACACACACACATGCATCTGTATGTATATATAAGGTAAAGATAAAGTTTTCCCCCGGCATTAAGTCCAGTCGTGTCCAACTCTGGGGGGTGGTGCTCATCTCCATTTCGAGCCGAAGAGCCGGCGTTGCCCATAGACATCTCCAAGATCATATGAATGGCATGACTGCATGGAGCAACATTACCTCCCTGCAGAAGTGGTACCTATTGATCTACTCACATTTACATGTTTTTGAACTGATAGGTTGGCAGGAACTGGGGCTAA